TGGGATTTATTTTTTTTTAGATTTGATCTCAATCGCCTTGAAAGAAAAATACTTGGATTTATAATAACCTGTCCCCTCAAAAATAAAAATTTTTTGGAAGAAGAAATCTTTGCACATCATGCCCAATTAATACAAATGTTTTTGGAATTCTGATGAACTTTTACAATGGTTTCATCAAAATTTTGAAATTTTAATAATTAATTTTATCACTGAAATATATTGAGATGTTATCTTAATTTTCTTTGGGAGAACGGCACAAAGATTCATCAGTCTCCGAATCTTGACCCCGAATAAGGTCACGAATGCCGCAATTTCCCACGAAAATCACAGCCAATCCTCCTCCAACCCACACGAAGAACCCGTGAAGAAATCCCGCAATCACTTCGCACTTCTTTTTAAAAACATACTCAAATTTTCTCTGCTCAAAGAATTGCGAAACAGTTAAAAGGCTCAAATGAAGCCTCGCTTCTTCCAACGTCCGTCTCTTTTCAACGACGAATCCCATGTTTCCTGGTTTGAAAAAATCGGGTTATTTTATTAAACTAGGAGAAAAAGAGTTGAGAAATGAGGAAGGGGAGAGCTTTTTTGAAAGAACAATGGGACGCATGTGTGTTGTGTTCCTTTTTTTCAAAAGTCGGAATACAGGAAGGAAGTAATTTGCTGGGTGTTGACCTGCTGGCTGAAAAGGAAGACACGGATATTTTTCCATACCATTTAATCAAAATTACTTGAAGATAGCCGTCATTCAAGTTTAAATGCATCTTGTCAACATTCAAAATTAAATTTATTTCCTCTCCCACGAAATCAATTCATGATTTCATCACTGAATTATTTTTTTTCCAGGTCCTGATTCCGAGAAGTGAAAACATGATTCCGAGATTCCTCTTCACCGCTATTTTTGCGGTCGTTGGTGAGTATAATATTTTATTATGTGCTCTTGAAATTTATATAGAGTTCAAATTTCCCAAATCATTTATTGGAACAATGAATCATTGCAGAATCCGAAAAAAAAAAATAAATCCGAAGGACACGGTCATAGATTATTCGTCTCGGTCTGACGCAAGGTTAATTCCTGCCTTCGTCACTTCTGTCGTCATTATATAGGACAGATTTTTTTCCAGCTTCAAATTTTGTTTGAAGAGGGATGAAAAATAATCAAGGGAGGATCGATTCTGAAATTTTCGCCCAGTCATGCTCTTAAATTTTCCCGAAGAACACTGAAGAAAAGAGATGCCCTGAGGGCAAGATACCAAACACTCGCTGTGTGGAGAAGTTGCGCAAGAAATTCTTCAGGGCGGTGGAAAATACAGTGAATTTGCTTTTTTCTTTGCCCATGAAATGCTCTTTGTTGGGAAAATTATGCGGGTTTTTCTTTTGTGGGGAGGGGGACAACAATTTCAAGTTTGTCTTCACAAGTTAAAACAAAGTCGACCATGATTTTCTTAGACGACGGGCACTTTTGAAAAAGTAAAACGAATATCATGAATAAATTCTCCAGATCTCAAACGTTTTCATGGCGGAGAAAAAGAAAACATTTTAAATCATAGTCCTCAAAACCAATTTCGAAGTTCATAATAAATGTTTCGCGTCTCATATTTGTCAACCTGAACTTCATGGAATCTCGAAAAAGACTCGAATTAGGCTCTCAACTATTAAATAAATGAAAAATTATTAACGAAAACGAAACCAAGATGTCAGCAGTCCTTCAAAACGCAAACAAATATCGGGTTAATTTATGCACCTTAATGCGAAGTAATTCTGAAAAATCCCCCTCTCGCATCAAATAATAATAAAATGTACAAAAATGCTTGATACGAAATTTAAATTGTGAATTTCGTCCTCTTATTTTAGTGGTCCATCCTCATTCCAGTGCCTCGACATGTATATTTCCGAATGCAAATTTCCAAGCATTCCAAATGCAGAAAAATAATTCATGCATAATATNGGTTCCACTCGGACGTCTGACCTTGTCTTTCCTCTCTCTTGGGTCTCAAACACTAAACTTCCTTGGTGAATTCAAAAGAAGAATTGTTGATTGGCCAGGAAGCACTTTACAGTTCAATGAAAAATTCAGAAAAAAAAACAAGAAAGAAGAATTTTTTATTGTTCAGGAAATGTTCAAAGACAAAGACAGAAAAATATTGTGCTACAGAATTTTCTGCGCATCAAATGTCTTGTTCAAGGACACGATACAGGTGGTACCTTGCAATTCAACTCTAATCAATTGCTGAACTGGGGTCAAATTGCGAGACACTCCATGAAATTCAAAAATATAATTACAAAAAAGCAAAAAAATGGCCAAAGCTGGTCAAATTGTGGGGCAAGGGTTGAATTGCAAGTCAACCTCTATCCAAATTCAATCTTCGAATTGCGAGATATAAAAATTCCTATACACTGAATTTCATTTTTTTAGATACACAATAAATACTCATGAACTTTTTCTATTGATAGCGTTTGAGCTCATTTAACAATTTAGTAATCTTTATAGTCCAAATACCTGAAGGAATCCGACCTTCTGTGCAATTTTATGAGGATGAAATGTTCATGTATTTGTTTGTTTTCATTTAGAAATGAACAGTATGAATTTTTAAAAATATAGCAACCCGTTTTTTGATCAACTATCAATTGAGTGATAAGTTAAAGTCTTTGAGAAAACATGAAAGATTATCCTGGTTTCTAAAGCTGCACTTATTTTCACAATAAATTTAAATCGATAATTCTAAATTTATTTTCCACTGAAAGAGAAAAAAAACCGCATTCATTCTTAGGAACTCGTAATTTGATTCAATACTGAATTTCGAGTTGACTGTGAGTAAAGTAGTAGCTCAAAACATGAATGAATCTCGGCTTCTGTGCAATACCATGCATTTTAAATTTGCCGAGGCTCATTCATTGAATTTTCCTTTCACGTATGGACACAATAATGTACCCGAATATACTATATGACCTCTGCAATGGAAATTTATGAATTTATTTACCATATTTTCGATTGAGTA